TTGTGTTTCTATAGATTGGCCTAGTCTGGGCATTTCATATAAATTGAATATATGATATATGTGGCCTTTTGTGCCTGGCTTTTTTCACTTAGCATAATGTTTCCAAGGTTCATCCATGTGGCATATAGCAGTTTTAATTTCATATTGCCAAATAACATTCTATTGTATGGATATACAGCATGTCACTTACCTGTTCATTGGTTAATGGGCATTTAGGTGGTTTCTACTTTTGAGCTATTATGAGTAATGCAGCTGTGAGCAGTCATGTACAGTTTTTTGTACAGACATATGTTTTTATTTCTCTTTGCTATACGCTTATGAGTAGAATTGCTGGGTTATATGGTAACTCTGTATTCAACCTTTTATGAAACTGCCAGACTGTTTTCCTAAGTGGCTGTACTATTTTACATTCCCACTAGCAGTGTATGAAGGCTCAGATTTCTCTACATCCTTGCCAACACTTGTCATTTTATTTACTTTTTTTCTTTTTGGTAGAGATGGGGTCTCACTCTTGCTCAGGCTGGTCTTGAACTCCTGAGCTCAAGCGTTCCTACTGCCTTGGGATCCTGGAGTGCTAGGATTACAGGCGTGAGCCACTATGCCTGGCTCCAACACTTGTTATTATCAATCTTTTTGATTATAGCCACTCAACACTAAAACAGAATTCGGCCAAGTTCTCTGCCACTTTATAAAAAAGATGACCTTCTTCTCTAGTATCCAGTAACATGTACATTGTTTCCTTCTGAGGCCTCACAGAAGAACCTTGAACATTCATATTTCTATTCACATTTTATTCACCATTATAATAAGTATTCTTTAAGATGATAGAAGCTTTCTCTAACATCCTCTTCGTTTTCTTTCTGAGCCTTCACCAGAATCACTTCTTTTTTTTTTTTTTTTTAAGAGACAAAGTCTCCTCTGTTGCCCAGGGTGGAGTGAGGTAGCATGATCGTAGCTCACTGCAGCCTCGAACTTCTGGGCTCAACCCATCCTCCTGTCTCAGCCTCCTGAATGGCGGGGAATACAGATGCACACCAGCACACCCAGCTAATTTCTTAAATTTTTTGTAGAGATGGGTCTTGCCATATTGCTCAGGCTGGTCTTGAACTCCTATGCTCTTGGGATCCTCTCACCTCGGCCTCCCATAGTGCTAGGATTACAGGCGTGAGCCACTGCACCCCGCCCAGAACTACCTTTCCATGTCTATATTTCTGCCAACAATCTCTTCAAGGCAATCTAGGCTTTTTGTTATCGTGCACCTCAGAATTCTTCCAGCCTCTACTAACATCCAACTCTATAACCACTTCCACATTTTTAGGTATTTATTACAGCATCACTTCACATCTTGGCACCAAAGCGTGTAGTCATTTCCTGGGGCTGCCATAACAAAATACCACAAAATGAATGGCGTAAAACAACAAATTCTTTCACAGTTCTGGAGGGTAGAAGTCTGAAATCAAAGTGTGAACAAGGCCACATTCCCTCTGAGGGCACTAGTCAAGAATCCTCCCTTGGTTTACTCAAGGTCAGGAGTTTGAAACCAGTCTGAGCAAGATCAAGACCCCGTCTCTACTAAAAATAGTAATAAATTAATTGACCAACTAAAAATATATAGAAAAAAGCCAGGCAGGGCGCAGTGGCTCTCGCCTGTAATCCTAGCACTCTGGGAGGCCAAGGCGGGCGGATTGCTTGAGGTCAGGAGTTCAAAACCAGCCTGAGCAAGAGCAAGGTCCCATCTCTACTATAAATAGAAAATAATTAATTGGCCAACTAATACATATATAGAAAAAATTAGCCGGGCATGGTGGCACATGCCTGCAGTCCCAGCTATTCGGGAGGCTGAGGCAGTAGGATTGCTTGAGCCCAGGAGTTTGAGGTTGCTGTGAGCTAGGCTGACGCCATGGCACTCACTCTAGCCTGGGCAACAAAGCGAGACTCTGTCTCAAAAATAAAATAAAAGAAAAGAAAGAAAAGAATCCTCCCGTGGCTCTCCCTAGTGTCTGCTTGTTGCCGCAATCCTTGGTATTTCTTGTCTTGCAGAGGCGTCCCTCCAGTCCTTGCCTCTGTCATCACGTGACCTTATTCTCCATGTGTGTCTGTGTCTCCATATGGCCTTCTTAAAAGAACACCAGGCCAGACATGGTGGCTCACACCTGTAATTCCAGCAGTGTGTGAGGCCGAGTAGGGAGGATCACTTGTGGCCAGGAGTTTGAGACCAGCCTGGGCAACAAAGCAAGACCCTATCTCTACAAAAAATAAAAACAATTGGCCAGGCATGGTGGCACGTATCTGTGGTCCTAGCTATTTATGAAGCTGAATGCTGAGGCAGGAGGATCGCTTGAGCTCAGGCGTTCGAGGCTGCTGTGAGCTATGATCATGTTACTGCACTCCAGCCTGGACAACAGAGGAGACCCTGTCTCTAAGGAGGGGGAAAAAACCCACCAGTAATTGGATTTAGGGCCCACCCTAGGACTTCAACATATCTTTTTGGTGGACACAATTCAACCCACAACAGGTAGTTTGTATCTTTATAGGAATTTTTCTATTTCATCTAAGTTATCTAATTTGTTGGTAGATAGTTGTTTATAGTATTTCCTTATACTCCTTTTCATTTCTGTAAGGTTGGTAGTAATGTTTCCTCTTTAATTCCTGATTTTAGGAGGGCAGGGTATGGATAAAATTTTTTTAAAATCCTGATTTTAATAATTTGAGCTGCCATCTTTTTCTTCTTCTTTTTTTTTTGTCAATCTAGCTAAAATAGGTTTGTAAAGTTGTGGATCTCAAAGAATCAAGCAACTTTTATTTCATTGCTTTCCTTTGTTGTTTTTCTCTTCTATTTTGGTAACTTCTGCCCTAATCTTTATTATTTCCTTACTTCTACTTGCTTTAGGTTTAATTTGTTCTTCTTTTTCCAATAGAAATTATTGATTTTGCTGGGCGTGGCGGCTCACGCCTGTAATCCTAGCACTCTGGGAGGCCGAGGCGGGCAGATCACTCAATGTCAGGAGTTTGAAACCAGCCTGAGCAAGAGCGAGACCCCGTCTCTACTATAAATAGAAAGAAATTAATTGGCCAACTAATATAATACGAAAAAAATTAGCCAGGCATGGTGGCGAACATGCCTGTAGTCCCAGCCGCTTGGGAGGCTGAGGCAGGAGGATTGCTTGACCCAGAGTTTGAGGTTGCTGTGAGCTAGGCTGATGCCACGGCAACTCACTCTAGCCTGCGGCGCACGAGAGTGAGACCTGTCTCAAAAAAAAATTGGCCGGGCGCGGTGGCTCACGCCTGTAATCCTAGCTCTCTGGGAGGCCGAGGCGGGCGGATTGCTTCAGGTTAGGAGTTCGAAACTAGCCTGAGCAAGAGCGAGACCCCGTCTCTACTATAAATAGAAACAAATTAATTGGCCAACTAATATATATACAAAAAATTAGCCGGGCATGGTGGCGAATGCCCGTAGTCCCAGCTACTTGGGAGCTGGGCGGAGTGCTTGAGCCAGGAGTTTGAGGTTGCTGTGAGCTGGCTGACGCCATGGCAGCTCACCTAGTGGCAACAAAATGAATGGTGTAAAACTGATTTGGGGTCTTTCTTCTTTTTTTTTTTTTTGAGACAGAGTCTCACTTTTTGTTGCCCTGGCTAGAGTGAGTGCGTGGCATCACCTAGCTCACAGCAACCTCAAACTCCTGGGCTCAAGCGATCTCCTGTCTCAGCCTCCCAAGTAGCTGGGACTACAGGCATGCACCACCATGCCCGGCTAATTTTTTGTATATATATTTTTAGTTGGTCAATTAATTTCTTTCTATTTTTAGTAGAGATGGGGTCTCGCTCAGGATGGTTTCGAACTCCCAACCTCGAGCAATCCGCCTGCCCCGGCCTCCCAGAGTGCTAGGATTACAGGCGTGAGCCACCGCGCCCAGCCTCTTTCTTCTTTTTTGATATAGGCATTTATAGCTATACAGTTTCTTTCTTTTTTTTTTAATTTTTATTTATTTATTTATTTTTTCCATTTTCAGTTGGCCAATTAACTTTTTTTTTTAATTTTTAGTAGAGACAGGGTCTCGCTCTTGCTCAGGCTGGTCTCAAACTCCTGAGCTCAAATGATCCACCCGCCTCAGCCTCCCAGAGAACTAGGATTACAGGCGTGAGCCACCGCGCCCGGCCTACAGTTTCTTTTTTATTTTTCTTTTTTTAATTGACAACTTTGACTCCAAGATGTTGTAGGAAAATCCTAGAACAAAGGCAGAAACCAGCAGCTTTTTATCAAGGGCATTTCATTGCTTCTTCCTCTCCCTGGGTGTGTCCTCTCTGCTGGCTCTTGGCTTCAGCCTCAGAAGGACAGGCACTGGTCACTTCAGATATTCCTGGGCTCCTTGGCAGAGGAGTGAATAGGGGGAGGGTGTCACTCTTCACAGGGTCCCCAGGAAGTGGTTCATAATGCTGCTTATGAAGTGGTCTCAGTCGGGGTGGTCATGGCTAATGAAGTGATGGTGTGACTTACTCTGGACCTGTCAGGCCTCTGAAATAACACTTCAGTATTTTTCAATCAGTATTCTTCTTGGCTGTCTTTTCTTTTTCTTTCTGTCATTTTTAGATGACAATCTATGCTCTATGTGTGTGTGACAAGATGAAGTTTTGCTTCATAGTTTCCACAACAATCTATACTCACAAGTAGAATTTCCATAGCACAAAAAGACATACAAGAAAAGATATGTAATTAGCATTTCTGTTTATTTTTATGGCATAAACTGCAGGGATGGATGATGGAGGAGTAGACAAGCTTATCTGGGAGCTCTTTACAAACGAGGGGCCACCCCATGCTCAGTGTTCCTAGAGGGCCTGCTCTGCCCAGACAGGTTCCAAACTCCGGGCTGGGAGGGTCCCTTGGCCCAGGAATGCCCGGCAAACCTGGTCTCCTTTGCCAGACGCCCCCTCCCTGCCCTACCCCCCAGGGCTGGTCCTCCAGGCCTCCAATGGGAGCTGTGATGACTGCTGTATCTCCCTAGGGTGTCTGTGAGGAAATGACCTACGAGGAAATTCAGGATCATTATCCACTGGAGTTTGCCCTGCGGGACCAGGACAAGTACCGGTACCGGTACCCCAAGGGAGAGGTAGGTGGGATTTGGGGCTCCGTCCCAGACACTTGCTGTCTGCCTGGGAGTACCATCTGCCGCTGCGGCCTGCGGGGCTCTGCAGAGCCTGTGTGAGCAGAAGAGCGGTCTGCCTAGAGCCTGGCCAGCCTGGGTGTTTCTCCCCATCACCTCCCAGCTGTGTGGCCCGGGCCTCAGGCCCTCCCTTGAGTGGTGGGTGGACAGCGCCCCACAGGGCAGGCATCCAGCCATGGGGCCATTGGTCTCTGCTGCTCATTTTTGTCTTCCCGCTTCCCAGGGGTGGGGAATTGGGACGGGCAAGGCCAAGGTGAGTGGGCCTGGTTCTGTGGATTAGACTTTCCTGGGAACCCTGTTGCTAGTTCATGGTGCCCTGGGATTCCCAGCCAGCTCCTTTCCCGGGAATTGTCAGTCCTTTGCAGGATGCTCAAGTGGCTGAGGAGTCGGGGACACCATGCTAGGCCTGAGGGTCATCTTAGCTCACTCACGCCCCTGCCCTGGGCCCTCACCCTTCTCTGGATGCTTCCCCTTGTCACAGGATGGTCCCATCCCATCCCTCCTATGCCTCCAGGCCCCACCCCCAGCCCTGGTTCCAGACCCAGGGAGACCTCCACAGATGAGTTGTAGCTACACAGACACTAGGCCCGCAGGCCCGTATAATCCCCTGTCCTCGGGATGGTTCTGCTCTCGGTGACCTTCACCATTCCTCGCTCACGCTGTGAGGCAGAGTTCAGGTTTAGAACCAACAGATAACACTGAGGAGAAACAAAGCAGCTGGCTCCTCAAACTTGAGAATCCAGGGTAAAAATTGGCCAAAAAATTAAAGTTACCAAAAGAATTGATCTAGGATTTTCCCAGAACTGCAGGGGCCAGTGCGAATCAATGTGTTGGTATTGCTTCCTAATCAAAGTTTGGGCAAATTCAGTTACTACTGCTCAAGGCCATTTTTTTGAAGGACTCTTCATTGTGTACAAAAGGAGAAAACTACCCCCCCCAGGCCCAGCCTCCTGGGGAAAGCTTCTACAGTTGCCTGCTGAGAGGTTGGCCAAGGACCCTCCAAGGTGTCCATTACCCCTGGGAAGGGGAGGGGGAGAAGGAGGGTGCAGGGCAGGCGGATTGCAGGATAGGTCACACTCCAGTAAGTTCCTGGGCCTTGCTCCCTCCCTGGCAGCTCCTGCTGGTGCGCTCTGTCTGCTATGGCTGAAAGGGGACAGTGTCTTTCCCACCACAGGTGCCAGCACATGAGTTCCATAGCTGAGTGTTAGGTGCAGAGCCCCATGGTGGGCACGGGTGGCCCCTGGGATGGAGCCTGAGGCCTAGTCCTGCTCGCTCAGTCCTACTAGGACCTGGCCCTGGGAATGGAGGGGCAGCCGCTTCCCCAAGCTGCTCACAGACCCACCCCCAGCTTCCTTCTCAAGCCAGACATGTCACTATCGCAGTCCTCTAGGGGCAGCTGCCCACCCCCGCGCCCTCAGGAGCCAGGCTGGAGGAGACCCAGCTTCAGCCATCCAGGATGGTGTGCAACGCCAGGAGTGGGAAGGCAGCCTGTTACCCAGGCTGTGTCCAGCCCTCCCTGGAGCCGGGCTGACGGACACCTCCCTGCTTGCCCTGGCAGTCCTATGAGGACCTGGTCCAGCGACTGGAGCCTGTCATCATGGAGCTGGAGAGGCAAGAGAACGTGCTAGTCGTCTGCCACCAGGCAGTGATGCGCTGCCTCCTGGCCTACTTCCTGGACAAGGCGGCAGGTGGGGCCTTGCCCTAGGGAGGTGGTGGAGGGGTGTGTGAGAGAGAGGGGGGACTGTCACCAGGCATCCACTGAGTGCCAGCACTCCCCTCTGTCCACAGAACAGCTGCCCTACCTCAAGTGCCCGCTGCACACTGTCCTGAAGCTGACCCCTGTGGCTTATGGTAAGGAAGCTTCCACACATTGACCTTGGGTTGCCACCACCTTGGATCTCTGCAGGGCTCCACGATTTTCTGTAAATTTCTTGAAAATCCCATTAGAAACCCGTTCCTCCTCCCCCACCTGACTACTTTTCCCAATTTGCTTTTCTTTTTAAATTATTATTTCAAAATATTGCAGGGGCACAAATTTTTTTGTTACATGGATTGCTTTCATTGGGCTTGAGTCAGGGTTATAAGTGTGGCCATTAGGTAGGTTTTTACCCATCCCCCATTCCCCCTCTCCACTGCTTGATTTCCACTGAGTTTTGCCCAATTTGCTTTTTTTGAGACAGAGTTTCACTCTGTTGCCCAGGCTAGAGTGTCATGGCATCAGCCTAGCTCACAGCAACCTCAAACTCCTGGGCTCAAGCAATCCTCCTCCCTCAGCCTCCCGAGTAGCTGGGACTACAGGCATGTACCACTATGCCCGGCTAATTTTTTCTATATATTTTTAGTTGGCCAATTAATTTCTTTCTATTTTTAGTAGAGACGGGTCTCGCTCTTGCTCAGGCTGGTCTTGAACTCCTGACCTTGAGCGATCCTCCCACCTCGGCCTCCCAGAGTGCTAGGCCAATTTGCTTTTAAAGTTTATTGTAAAATAACAGTTCGTAGCCTCAGGAAACCTCCCCAATGATCTTTCCTTAACCATCGCCCACCTTCATGAGGGGCTTTTCTACTGGTTTTTACAAAGCCCCACAGCCCACACGGCCTAGACCTTAAAACATTCTTGGCTCCGGGCAGTTTGAGTCCCACCCCTGCCCCTGGCTGTGCCAGCAGAGACCTCAGGCAACTTCCTACTCTCTTGGGTCTCAGCTCTCCCCTTTAATACAGGTGCTCTTAGGAGGATGACTGTGGAGCTCAGTGGCAGCTGGTGTCATTCCAGTGTGTGATAATCCCTCGTCCCCAACCCCACTGGGCACCTGGCACAAGACTGACTGGGCCTTGCATGGCAGAGCTGGGGTTGGGTGGTTTTGGGGCCCTGAAGAATGTGAGAGTAAGTGACTCCATGTTGAACTTAGGCCTGTTGTACCCCGACTGCTCTTGGTCCCAGGGTTAGGTAGCTTGGGCCTTGGTGTGGCCCTGTCCGGGCGGTCACCCGAGGATAAACACTGGCGGGGCCCCTCATCCTTCCACTCTGTGCTCCCCGGAGCAGAGATGCCTGCTCCATTGCCCAGAACTCAGCCTCCTCCTGAGAGAGCTTCTGTCCTCTGGGGCTCCAGCTACTTTTCTGGAGGCGGATGGATTTGCATCTTCCCTTTGGCAGGTTGTAAAGTGGAGTCCATTTTCCTGAACGTGGCAGCTGTGAACACGCACCGGGACAGGCCTCAGGTAGCACTGCTGGGGTGGCGGGTGTGCTCCTGGGGGTGTCCAGGCACCACATACCCAGGGCCAGGCCCAGCTGAGGCACCTGCCAGAGGGAGCTTCTGCCAAGGCTGTGCTGTGGTCAGGGAGGGCCTGGCTCTGGGGTGGCCCTGCCGTAGGCCTTCCCAAGACCAGCTGCCCTGGGGAAAGGGAAGTCCCTGGAGCTGGGCCACCAGGCTAGGAAGTACCTGGGTGAGGCCGTGATGGACTTCCCAGCAACCCCATGGAGGTCTGAGGCAAGGAGGGTGAGAAAGAGTCCCCAGGCGTTCAGAGGGCAGGTGGGGATGCCCCCCACCTCGCCCCCCCGCCTCCAGCCCAGGCCTCATGAGTACCTCCTCCAACTCCAGCACCTTTAAAAATTAAAACAGTTATCGGCCGGGCGCGGTGGCTCATGCCTCTAATCCTAGCACTCTGGGAGGCTGAGGCGGGCGGATTGCTCGAGGTCAGGAGTCAAAACCAGCCTGAGCAAGAGCGAGACCCTGTCTGTACTATAAATAGAAAGAAATTAATTGGCCAACTAATATATATAGAAAAAATTAGCCAGGCATGGTGGCGCACGCCTGTAGTCCCAGCTACTTGGGAGGCTGAGGCAGAAGGATCACTTGAGCCCAGGAGTTTGAGGTTGCTGTGAGCTAGGCTGATGCCACGGCACTCACTCTAGCCTGGGCAACAAAATGAGACTCTCTCAAAAAAGAAGAAAAATCAAAACATTAAATTAAAATTAAAATTATTTTTTAAATATTATAATATTATATCATATAATGATATTATAATATTTAAATTATCATTTAATTAAAAATTAAAATCATCACGCTTTGTCGGGGAAAGCGCAGTGCCAATACTGAGGGGGTCAGCACAGGGCAAGGACCTTCCTCTAGAAGAGCAGCTTGCCACCCCTGCTCCCCAAGTGCCTTGTCTAAGGTGGAAGCTCCTCAAGGTGTTACCCAGAGCCACTCTCAGTGCCTGCGTGAGATCCCTCCACACTGCTGGTTACCTCTCCCCCTGAGGCCAAGGGCAGGCCCTACCCTTCTGGAACCCCTAGTCCCAGTTCCTGGAATGCACTGTGCCGAGAAGGCTCCTGGGCCTCATCCATTCCTATTGCTGTCCACGATGGGGCCTGCTTGGGCCCTGGGGCCCTGCTGAGGGTGCAGGCCTTGGGCTGGACCAGGACATCTGGCCCAGCCTGCCGGGTGCCCATGCTCACCTGCAGCCCCTTGGCCTTAAGCCCCGCAGGGAGAGATGTGTGGACGTGTCCTATTCCTTCCCAGGGCTGCTGCCCCAGCCGGGACCAGTCACTGTGCAGGCTTCGTTCCCCTGTGCTCTGAGCATCTGTGTGTGTCTTCGCTGAGTCTGGCCCAGGCCTAGTCTGGCACCCACAGGTCACAGGGGAGGACACGTCCTAACAGGCATCCTTTGTGCTGAGGAAAGCCCAGGTCACACTGGACCCCAGCACTAACGGGGATGGTGAGAGAGGCCCCTGGGCCTGGCAGCCTTCGGGGGCTGACCCCACCAGCCCACAGACATGGCGTGGCTGACAGTCACTCTTCTTGCCTCTGGGTGGGTGCTGCTCAGAGAAAATATTCTATTGGCCACAGTTTCCTGGCTGGTTCCTTTTCAGGTGGATAAAATCCCAGAGTCTCCTGGCCCATGCTGAGGGCAGGCTGTGGTGGGAAAGGGGGCCCTCAGGAAGCCTGGCCCGCAGTGAGAATTGCACCTGCTCCCACGATTCCAGTGGCTAGTCCATGAGCCCAGGGTGTGGGCCATGGGGGCCACGTCTCCCTCCCTGCAGATCTGAGCATATCATGTCACATAAGGCTACAGTCTTGGTCTTCAGTGACCCCTGCAGGTGATGGTTCCGAGGCCCAAAGCCTGGAGGATTGGCCACCAGGATCAGGGGTCACATGGGACAGCCTCATAGAGCTGAAGGAAGTCTCAAGCCCCCTATTCCTCAGGCACGAGGCACCTGGGCTCTGTAGCTGAGTGGGGGCCAGCTGTGGACTTCAGGGGCTCCCGGGGGCCCTGTGCTCTAGTCCCAAGGGAACAGACTAGGCTGCAGATTAGGAGATGTCCACAAGCTTCTGGGGCTGTATCTGACACGATCTGAGGCGCCCCCAGATGCTGAACCCCTTCCTTGCCCCACTGAAGATGAAAGCCCCAAGCCAGGGTTCCTCCCTAGTTGACCCAGCCCTGAGAGAGGAGATGGGGATGGCCTTGCTCTGGGTATGGCCTGACCTGCCTGCAGTGGAGCAGGCAACGGGTGGCACCCTCCACGCCTGGCATTGTTCTGTTGTCTGTCCGCCCACTGTGGCACGAAGCTCTTGACCCTACGTTCTTAGAGACGGCTGGGGTCTAGAGTCAGGGGTCTAGTCCTGCTGAGGTGAGAACTTGAGCCCCGATGGGCCAAGCGATCAGAAAAGCTGACAGCAGGTGTCCCTTCTATTCCTGCCACAAGGTGAATGTTCTCTGTTTGTGTTGTTGTACAGAATGTAGACATCTCAAGACCTCCGGAGGAAGCCCTTGTCACAGTCCCTGCTCACCAGTGACCGTTGCATTCGCCGTGACCCCTGGGCAGGCACTGATCACTGTAGACAAGGTTTTTCCAGGCCTCCTGGTCTGTGTGATAGTCACCATGCAGGAACATTCTTGAAGCCATGTGTGGCTGGTGGTGCTCAGAATCTGCCCCAGCCCACCTCTTTGTTGACCGTGACAAGGTCATACGTGGTTCCTGACCTGCTGATAAGGCTCACTCGGCCAGACTGCGCCCGCACGGGCTGGTGAGAGCTTGCCCGGCACCGCGTCCTTCTGTTGCAGCTCTTAGGCGTTCCCTCTCACCGGTCGCTTGGCTTTGTGAAGTGTGAAACTCTAAAATGTGAAACAGAAAGTGCTTGCTGTTCCTGCTGTGGACCTGCTGTCTGGGGAGGATCTGGCGACCCCCTGCAGGACCTCTACTGTCCTCTCTGGGCCACTTCATGAGCCAGAGGTCAGCCTTTCCCAACAGGGACAAAGAGCGGCAGCCAAGGCAGCTGCCTCCTGGGCAGCCACTGGCCAGGCTGTGTACCCATGTGACTGTATCTGTGGACACTCGCGAAAGCAGCGTGCTTCAGCATGTTGTGATGCACAGAAACGTGCAGAAGGGAGAGTTTGTGGTCACCCCTCCCCAACTGGGAAACTCGGGGGAGCTGGTGGCTACGGTACGCCTTCCGGGCTGCTCTCACACGAAGCCACCTAAAGACAGGACAGCTGTGCGAGTGACCTTCCTGTCGCACACACCGAAGTGCTCAAGGGGGAGGCTGCCATCGCCTTGTCCCTTCCCTGCTGTGCACACTGGCAGCTGGGGAGGAGGTGGCCTCTCACCTGCTGCTGCCCGTGTCCATGCAGGAGTGTACACTGGTGGCAGAGACACGCATTTGCCATAAATGATTCGGATAAACTCGTTGTGATCCTATAAAACCTGTTTCTGTGTTTGTTGGCCTCTACCTGTGGACCTGGGGAAGGGAGAAGACAACCGGAGGCAGCCCCTGGGCAAGAGGGCATTTCCCAGCCACTTCACAGCTTTGATGCATGTGCATGCGGAGCTGGTGAAAATGGCCTCGTGAAGTCGCATCTGTCATGCCCGAAGTTCTGGGGCAGTCTAGGGAGTGGGTTCCGGCTACATTTTATAGCTGGCAAAGACACTGGCCGGCAAGTAGTGGGGCCGGGTCAGAAAGAGTCTGGACTTCTAGTTTGGTGCTCTGTTACCCACAGTGGACTTTGGTGAAGCCACAGCCCTGGATCCTAAGCCCACTTTGTACCCAGAGCCTTCCTGGCCTGTGCCTGGCAGAGCAGCCCCCTGTTCTACCCCTCTAGGGCTTTGCATCCTGCAGGCTCCATCTGCCCCTGAGAGAGATCAGCATCTCTGGCCCCAGCTGGTGGTTTCTCAGCCCCGTGTGCTGCAGCCGCTGTGGGCGAATACAGGTGGAGAGATGTCAGGTGGAATTGGGGTACGATCCTCCTTCTGGACCTGTGTCCTGTTGGAGCCCCAAGCCCTTAGACTCAGGGGCAGAGGACCATACCACTGCCTTTGGGACATGGGGACCGCAGCCTTTGCTTCTGTCTGCTGGAGTTTTGGTAACTTTTGTCACCTGGACATGCTTATTTGTTAGCCATGGTGGGTCCCTTTGGGCATGTATGTCTGGATGTCACCTGAGGCGAGACCACCAAGGCCTTCTCACTCTGTGCAAAGGGGAGTCAGGAGCTGCTGGACTGGATGCATTACAGGGACTGGGGACAGGGCAGGGGGGATCTGGGGGTTAGGGCGGGGGTAGGGTGGTCTCTGCATGGCAGCAGCATGCCCGGTTGGCTGCCAGGTCTCCGCCGTGCTGGCTGACGACGTGCCGTGTTGCACATGCTCTCCTGCTCTCCTTGAACTGGATGGTATTGGATCTCAGCCACACCTAACACTGTGTCCAGCATTCTTTGCAATAAAAAACAATACCTTAAGGTTGTATCCTGTAGCCACTTCTCTATTTGTGAGGTATTCTTTCTGGCCGACTCTGTAGGCGCCCCGCCTGTGGTCTTTCCTGTCTGCGTTGGACTCAGCCCCCACCCCCATGCTTACCCCTCACTGAAGAAGAATTGTTTGCCTAGAGCAGCGGTCCCCAACCTTTTTGGCACCAGGGACCGGTTTCATGGAGGACAGTTTTTCCATAGACCGGAACGGGGTGGAGTGGGGTGTTGCGGGTGGAGGGAGGGAGGGTGGTGCAGGGCTCAGGGGGTGATGGGCCAGTACTGAGCCTCGCCCTGGGGGTTGGGGGCCGCAGGCCTAGAGTGAGCCTGGCCTGGCATATGTGGGCAGGGCAAGGGCCCGAAGTTTCTCTGGGCTGACCTGGGGTCCTGGGCTCTTGTCCCTAAGCAAGAGGCAGGTGGTTGTGTATGAGGGTGTGGATCTGGAGTGGAGCACTGTTAAGGGAAGGATTCTGAGGTCCCCAGAAATGGGGATCCCAAATGTTGGCATCCTTGGGAAGGGTTTTCAGAGGCTGGGTGGAGGATGGAGGGGCTGCATGTTGGCTAGTTCTCTGGTATTTTCTTTGTCACATGCATCTTGGGTGGGGAAGGTGGGAGCAAGGGGCAGGGTTTTCCCTTTCCCCTGCCTCAGAATGACACTGGCCTGTCCATACTTCCTGCCCTGGGGCTGGCTGTGGAGGGCAGGCAGGTTGCAGGGTGCTCCGCCATGGCCAAGATGGGGCTAGGCGTGGCTGGCTGCCACCTGTGCCTCTCCCAGCGTGTCAGCGCAGAGGATGCTGTGGCTGGGCTGCCTCTGGGGGTGGGGGATGGCCGCCAGCTATGGCTCTGCCTCACCCAGCAGTGTCTTCCAAGGGTCAGAGGGAGGGGCAGCTCTGTGGAGTTAGGGGGCCGTCAGCCACAGCTGTCCTCCCGGTGGGAAGCTCGGGGCCAGCTCAGGGGTGCTCGCTCCATCTCTGGACGCTGAGTTCCTGGTGTGCGCACCTGGCCTCCTTTGAGGTTTCTCAGCATTTGTTGAAGAAGGGTTTGAAGGTTTTTGGCAGGAAAGCAACAACAGAAGGAATAAAATATAACACTGTCAGAATTTTTCTTCAGGTCCAAGGTTCTACCACAACCTAGAAAGAGCAATTATATTATTATCATGTTGAGGAGTTTTGTAGCATTTTGGGTTACTGGGAAACAACATCTGGCCGGGTGCGGTGGTTCATGCCTGTAAGCACTCTGGGAGGCTGAGGTGGGTGGATTGTTTGAGGTCAGGAGTTCGAAACCAGCCTGAGCAAGAGTGAGACCCTGTTTCTACTATAAATAGAAAGAAATTAATTGGTCAACTAATATATATAGAAAAAATTAGCTGAGCACGGTGGCGCATTCCTGTAGTCCCAGCTACTGGGGAGGCTGAGGCAGCAGGATCGCTTGAGCCCAGGAGTTTGAGGTTGCTGTGAGCTAGGCTGACGCCACGGCACTCACTCTAGCCTGGGCAACAAAGCAAGACTCTGTCTCAAAAAAAAAAAAAAAAAAGAAAAAGAAAAAGAAAAAAAGGGAAACAATAGTCATCAGATAGAGTCAGAGGATATTTGGATAGAATGGAATATTATTGCAAAGATATAGGTTTCAGCAATATTTGATTTTTATATATCATCTGTATCGGGCAGTGTTTGGTTTAGACCAATCATTATTAATCCCCTGGGGTGTGGTGGCTCACGCCTATAATCCTGACACTCTGGGAGGCCAAGGTGGGAGGATCCTTTGAGGTTAGGAGTTCAAGACCAGCTTGAGCCCTGAGCAAGAATGAGACTCCATCTCTATTAAAAATAAAAAAATTAGCTGGGCGTGGTGGCATGAGCCTGTAGTCCCAGCTACTCCAGAGGCTGAGGCAAGAGGATCTCTTGAGCCCAGCAGTCTGAGGTTGCTGTGAGCTAGGCTGATGCCACGGCACTCTGACGCAGGCAACAGACTTGCTCTATCACCTGGGCTACTGGGCTAGAGTGCTGTGGCGTCAGCCTAGCTCACAGCACCCTCTGACTGCTGGGCTCAAGCAATTCTCCTGCCTCAGCCTCCAGAGTAGCTGGGACTACAAATGTGTGTCACCACTCTCGGCTAATTTTTATATTTTTAGTAGAGATGGGGTCTCTCTCTTGTTCAGGCTGGTCTCAAACTCCTGAGCTCAAACCATCTTTCCACCTCGGCCTCACTGAATGATATGATTATAGGTGTGAGCCACCATGGCTGGCCTGAGCACATTGTCTTTTAAATTTTATTTTTATTAAGATTATTTTTTGAGACAGGGTCTTACTTTGTCACCCAGGCTGGAGTGTAGGGTCGCAATCATTAAGAGCTTACTGCAGACTTGAATTCCTGGGCTCAAGTGATCCTCCCAGCTCAGCCTCCTGAGTAGGTGAGAGTACAGGTATATGCCACCATACACAGCTAATTTTTAAAAATTTTTGGTAGAGACAAAGTCTTGCTATATTAATCAGGCTGGTCTAGAACTCCTGGCCTCAAATAATTCTCCTGCCTTGGCCTCCCAAAGTGCTGGGATTACAGGTGTGAGCCACTGCACCTGGCCAGTTGTTTAAACAAAAGTATTTTATTAAAATTGAAAAATGGCTTTGTGGTAGACCAGAAATAGTGACTGCCACGCCTGGTTGGTGGCCACAGGTCCCTTTGGGGAGGTTGTGAGGAAGGTGACGGTATGGACCTGTGCTGCTTTCACAGGGCCCTCCTTAAAGTGTGCTCACCCACTTCCTCCAGGGGCCCCTGGATTTGTGAAATGATTTTATCTGGAAAACTGGTGCAGGGTCCTCTGTTACAGCCAGGTCTGTTGGTTGGACCTCATGTTCTTTTGGAATATAAGCAGGACTCCAGTGCCTCCCCATCTGTTTTGGTTCTCAGGGCCTAGTGAGTAGGTCACCCAGGGTCCTTGTATCTGTACTGAAATCAAGGAGCCATTTCATGTCTAGCATCTACCTGTCAGAATCCCTAACCCATGGAGAACAGTGACTATGGGGCCTACTATGGGTTGAATTGTGCAGCCCCCAATAATGCCTCCTCATGTGACCTTATTTGGAAATAAGGTCATTGCAGAGGCAGTAAGCTGAGGTCAGACTGGCGTGGGCGTGCCAGTCCAGCAAGCCCTAGCTCCTTCAGAGGGAACGTGGCTCTGCCAACCCCTTGATTTCAGACTGCTGGCCCCTGGAACTGTGAGACAATAAATTTCTGTTGTTTCAGCCCCTCCGTTTGTGGTTCTTTGTCACACTAGCAGTAGCAAACTAAAACTTCTCAAAGATGCCTTCCTCAGCAACGGATTTCCCAAGGCCTCAGTGAGGACAGCATCTCCTGCGCCTCCTCCAGGGGCTCGGCTAGGGAAAAGGTGAGTTGTCCGTGATAAATTCAGTCTCACATTATTTTCAAATGAATGACTAAATCTTAAGGCTTTGGAGTTTTGACATTATCCTAGGGAGCTTTTGGCATGTCGACCGCATTTAGTGAAACCCAGCTTTTTTCAGCCGACCAAGGAGACATGTAGAACAACCCTCAACAGCTTGAGCCAACACATTGAATCCCAAATCTCTGCTCAGCGCACCCGCATTGATGAATTCAGCCCAATATAAACCATGTGCTTTCTTATCTCCTTTCTCTAGGACTTCAATCTGTTCCCACACATATTCTCCATATTTTGGCCAACATAAAATAACAAAGTCTTGCAATTCTTTGATATGTAAGCATTCCCCTTGGGGCTTGACTTTGTAATAGGATCTCGAGACAGCCGGGCTCTAAAGGCACTGGAGACCCTGAGGAGTTGGGCAGGAGGCTCCCAGAACAGGGGCTTCCTCTCCAGAGCCGCTCCTTCATGATGTCTCCCAGCGCGGCGCCTCACCCCGGCAGGCAAGGGTGGTGCAGAAGAGGCTGGGCGTTGGTGGTGGTCTGATTCTTCTGAATTCTTTCATATG